GTGTTGAGAGATGAGGTTCCCGTAAGTGCTGCTGTGAAACAAGGCTCTGTTCACCCAAGACCCCCACCAGGAGGCCTGGGTTCAGAAGGTCCAGTGCCTCAGCATCCTCCTGATTCACCCCAGAAGATCCGGTGCCTCAGCGTCCTGATTCACCTCCCATTGTCAGACTTGACAGAAAATAAATGGGAAGAAGCAGGATAACTTTTCTTAGAAAAAGCAAAACCCATTTGTTGTGTTAAATGTTTTTTACTGTTTGGGGGGGGCACTCAGCCCCCAAATAAATTATGCACCAAGTCTTATTACTTATGAATGCCTGGCCTTAGCTCGGCTTTGTTTCTAGTCAGCTTTAAATTAACTGCCTTTTCCCTCTGGGCTTTTATCTTTCTTTCTTTCTTCTGTATATCTTAATTTCCTTGTTATGCCTTGGCTGGCTGGCCTCTGATGTCCCCTTCTCCTTGTTCTCCTTCTTATTCCTCAGTTCTATTTGTTCTCTCTGCTTGCCAGCCCCGCCTATCCTTGATCCTACCTCACTATTGGCCGTCGAGCTATTTATTAGACCATCAGGTGTTTTAGACAGGCAAAGATCACAGCTTCACAGAGTTAAACAAATGCAGCATAAAAAAATCATACACCTTAAAACAATATTCTACCACATCTATGCATTGCATACCTCAAGTGTGTGTGTGTGTGTGTGTGTGTGTGTGTGTGTCTGTCTGTCTGTCTGTCTGTCTGTCTGTCTGTCTGTGTGTTTTAACAGACCATGAGCTTATTTGCTGGTGACAATCATGAGATAGATAATCTGGAGGACTTACATATCTTAACCCATTTCTGAGTCCCAAGCACTACTGAATTACATTTATGCATTCCCGGTAGGGTTTTACATTTTTATTACAAGGAAATACTTCAGTCTTTCTGAAGTCTGCCTCCCCCACCTTGCTCTGCTCTCGCCCCGTTACTTACAAGTATGAAAATAATTGAAGTTTTAAATTAGTTGGAATTTAAAAACAATCTTTCTATTTAATATACATAAATGGATATGCTCACGTTTACTTATTTAAGAGCCATATGGCACTTCTTCATAAACGAACTCATTTGTTCCTTGGGACTCTCCTCTGAGATACAGAAGCTGTTACCCCTATTTGAAAGACAGGGAAATTGAGGCCAGGAAACGACAAAACCAGGGCCCAGGTGCTAAGACACACATTGGAGTCGAGGGAAGGATCCAGGCAAGAACTTCACCATCCATGTCCCCGCCTCTGTCCTGTAAAATCCATTCCTGCAGCCTCTCCATGCCCAGTGAAAACACCTCGAGTGGGGCTCCGTGTCTGTGACGTCAGTGTTTGTGTGTGTCTGGTCTGGAGTCTGTAAGGGATCTTGTCAAGTGTTTGTTAAAATGAACAACTCCTACCTGGGCTAGCATCCCCAGAGGAACCTCCCCGCTTAAGGGTAGCTACAGGCCAATGTGTGTCGCCTTAGGGGATCTTCCAGAGGCTCCCCCGAGAAGCCTCCTCTCCGGGTGTGCTTTCCGGATCCCAGCACTGACTATGGCCCACGTGACCTTAGAAAGGTCTGGGATTCTGGAATCAGGAAACTCTTTCCTGTCGGTTTTTACTCTGTGACCTGGAACACACCCGTGCTCTTCGCTTTAATTTTCTTCTGAAGGACTGCTCTAAAGAAAGCAATAGCAAGCTCGTGGCAGATGGTAGAGGCTTAACAGGATAATAGGCTAACAATCGTGATCAGATTGTTCTAATCAGATGCTCAACCCACGGCTTTTGTGCATTATCGATCTTTGAGGAATGCGAGACTGAAGACAGCCCACTCCGGCGGCTCCTTACAGAGGAGAAACGACCACAGTACTCGGCGGCACTCAAGGACGCAAGGCCCCGGCTGAGATGCTGGGGAATGTCCTTAAATCCTAATCCATTATTTCAGCACAGTTGAATACAGAAATAGTTGCTCGGTTGGTGGACTTCAGCCATTTCCCATGAAGAGGGCGCCATCTTGTGGCCGGTGTGGTGGACTGACAGGCGAAAGTCTAGGATTGCGGGTTATTCCCAGGCCAGGGCTCCCCGT